AGTTACAGTCACATGTGCAAATATGTGCTGTATATACGTGCAATAACGATTTATGGTTCACGACAGTTGAAATTAAATTCCGTTACAAAATTGTCTGTTCTAACGGATATCGGGCTGAAAATTTGCCAGAGGATGTTACGATTTTCGTAATTTGTCACAGGCCACCGAGACCTCTTCAGCGTCTCGCATGACAGGCCCCTTCCTGGCGCAAGTTGCAGATCACTGCGTTCCGTTTCGGATTACTGCCAACGAGGACAACGTTCACCGCGAGATAAAATTATTTGCAAGCGCTTTCGATTTAAGTAGAAGATACAATTCGCTCGCTGTGCATTGAATGGCGACCAACGTTACAAAAGTCTGTTGTCGAATATAGCTCAGGTTTCTCATCACTGAAGGCAGTGTTCAGTCGATGAAAGTCCACTGTGGATGAGGAAGCACTAGACCATGTGATCTTACATCTGTCAATCATCATCGTCATCGTCATCACAGTCCATGAGGTGTGCTACAGGACCGACAAACCAGCACCAAGCAGACTAATATAGCGGTAGCTCTCAAAGTACTGCGCATTGGGTAATTAATCCGACACAGAATTTTACAATAAATCTTCAATATTTTTGTTCAAAATTATATAATCTTACAAATGCGAAAGATGAAGTATGCATTGTAGAATATAATCGTATTTTTTCGTTTCTCATTACGATTCATGTCCTCTAAAGAGTATAAAAGTTAGACCAAATATTTTGAAAAACATTTCTTCATAAATCACAATTTGTCAAAATAATTTTACAGGTTTTTGTTGGCCAAAATCTGTATTCTGAGTCCGTATATTTAAAAAAAAAGTGTTTTCACTGTTCGAATTGCGGCCGGATATCGACCAAATTTAACGTTTTGTTTGTTCCTCGACGAAACAAGAGACGAGACCAGAGCAAATTTTAGCAACGATTTGGTGTGGTTACCTTAATGCTTATAGCGCCATGGAGACGTATTTGGAGGTGCAGATAGAGCTCCGAGCATTCTTAGCATTCCTAACACTGGTACTTGATGGCAGTAAGTGTTCAGCTTCACGCCTCGACCGCTTTAACCCCAGGGGAGACTGGGTGGATGCTAGCCTGGACGTGGAGGAAAATCTTTGCCTGTATCAGGATTCGAACACGCGACGTCAGGCCTATGTCGGGTTACTTTACCCAGTAGATTAGATACAGAATGAAGGAGTCAGCTCAGGAGATTATGATCCGCCGTTGAATAAGAGCTGGTACCTACATTCTGCAGCAGTGAGATCACAGCCGTTGGTTACACGTGGAGATGAATCCTGATGCTGTGTAGTACAGAAGTATCACATTTTGTGTACGTGGCGACAGCTTGTTGCAAGTGATGACAACAAATTGTAAATACTTTCAAATTAAAGTGTTCGAATCTTTCGGATCTTGCGTGAAGGACTTTGCATCATGGGTACTGAAACGTTCAGTTTGTTATACCAGAAAACTAGCTAGTTAGTCAGTGTCACTTAGATCGTTGCTTTGTCAAGTAGTTGGATGGTTAATTCGTTCTGCTTGACACCTGATTGATCGAATTAAGAAGAGTGCGATTAATAGGGCACATAGCACCCATTGGGAAACGAGAAATGCGTACAAAATATGAGGATGAAACTCTGAAGAGAAGAGACCACTTATGACGGAGATCTACGCTCAGACGAGTAATTCACATTGTTTTCTTGCCAAGGTATAGAGAGAAAACTATCACACAAGTAAACCAATTTAAATATCTTTATCGTAATTGACCATATGAAAAGCACATTTCAAATGTCAAGTCTATTCCAGCCACTAGATAGGTAGCTGGTCGCCTCAGAGCCGGTCGGAGCGTAGTAACAAGGAAAACATTTCTGGCTATGGGAATAGTACTTCTGCCCCCCGGGTTCATAGCCAGACTTTACTGACTGCGCTCTCCTGGCTGTCACTATGCGTAATTTTTCTTGTCACAATCGCAGTTGCGGTCAGCACAAGACATTGTCTGAAGGTTAACGATGTGCCTATACAGCGGTATTCTGATAACGGGCAATAAGTAACGCACGTGGCTTCCATTCGATTCGATAGGTCGTATCTCCATAACCTGTCTCGTCCGGTGAAAGACCTACCTCGATGCCAATTGGATAAGAGACAAAGATGAAGAAGATTAGCTCATAATCGGTCTATGCTTTGTGGGGAAGAAAAAACAAGTCCTTGCCTCTGCCGGGAATCGAACCCCGGTAATTCAGCACGTGGCCAGTCATACTGAAGCCTATGCCGGCTCATATTGGTGTCTAATACTTGTGCATTAATCGATAATAGTCTATAGCACTGGTTTCAACCTGGGGTACGCGTACCCCCGGGGGTACGCAAATACATCTTAGGGGGTACGTGAAATTAAAAAAAATTATGATAAACACTGAATAATCAGTAATGTAATTTATTTAAATTATTTTAGATGTAGATTATATACTATGTATAACTTGAATTATACACCAACAACTTTGGGAGTACAAAGTTGAAGAGAAATTATATCTGGGGGTACGCGAACAAAAAAGGTTGAATACCACTGGTCTATAGAATGCACGTAGCAGCAAGGAATAAACCATCGACATGCCACGTGGTTGACAGAGTGCTACTTGGTCTGATTTTCGCAGAAGCTCGCTAAATTAGTGTCATCATCGAGAGCACAAGGCCACTTCAAGAGAGATTCGGCAGCATCTGGGACGTGGTAAGTGGTCTGCTGCGATCGGCAGGCTTCATCACCATCTCTCTTACCTGCTGCTGGATCTCTCAGCTACAAGGTGTTCTTCAAACATATCCACAAAACTACTTCAGTGATCTCTAGGATTGAGAAATCCCGGCAAGTCTGATAACATTCAGAAAAAAATTTAAACTTCTGAACTGACCGATTAGTTTCATGCTTCATCCTCTTGCCAAGATAAACAAAGTGTTAAGAAGAAAGCACCGTTCTGGACGATGTAATTCAGAGAAAACTTCTAACAACATTGTCAGAAAACAGTTAAGTCGCGTGAAAGCGTATTCAATAAACCGCGACCGCTTCCTTCCACATCCCTTCCAGTCAGTATCATTCGGCGCCACAAACTCCAAGCATCTTAAAGGGCGTCTTTATATAAATCAAGACTCAGCCGCCTCGTTCTTATTTTTATCAAATTTTATACTGCGATAAAGTTTCTGATTCTCATTCTGGAGGTAACCGATTCGAATTTTGACCGGGTATTTGATCTCCTGTATTACATTTTTTCAGTTCTTTCAGACGGGTGCCGAAACATCTTGACAGAGGCCGTTTTCCGTCTAATTTTTCATTTATAAACAATCGGACGATGCACAGCTTGCAGAACTTGATGCAGCGTCTTAATATAAGCGGATGACTTACTGTGTTCTTCGTCTCTTTCGTAGTCGTGTACGCTCGACTGTTGAGAGCACTCACACTGACAGAGGGCACCAACAACCATGAAGCACGAACAAGAATGCCAACAAAAACACCCTAACCTTGATAGGATCTGAACTCGTAATCCCAGAGACCAACAACATTCTTTCTCGTCTGAAAATCAGGTTATCTGATTTGGTAAAGCTATGACGAAAACGTAATTCACGTAGTGTTTGAAAATGCCGTGAAGCAGCTGAGATACATTACAACTTAACACCAATTTCGCTTTTCTGCTAATTAACCTGCGATTTCTTTATTTCATTTATTTTCCGCTATTATCACACAATGTTTACCGGCCTTAAGTAAGATCTGAGGTTTTCACGGCGGTCAGTATGAAGATGGCTGTCCTGAGGTTGTAGCTCAGTGTAGTCTGATAGACGTTTATCAACGTTTCAGAGATCTTTGCTGCCTCCATCACCTGAGCGAAAAGTGATGATGATTGCAGCAGGCACCTCTGAAACGTCGGTAAACTTCCACCACATACACGGCACTGCAACCCAAAAGACAGCCATCTTGTTTCTTTTATTGTCTAATCGGGTACATCCAGTAAAATATGCCTCTCCACGGGTTAAAATTATTTTTCAAAACCTATTGTGCCTTTCACATCGAAGAGGACAATTGAGAATTCTTTGGCCGTCCGCGGACTAGTGACATCTTCTGTAATTGTAAGAAACTTACTATAACTAGACTAAAGTCTGCTACTGTATTTGTAGATCTCTGGAAAGACTCTGGGACGTGCCTGGACCCAGGGGGACCTGGGCAGCTTCACTCTTTGCCCATTAGATAAAGCAGGCCTTAACGTCGGTTACCTTTATCTCCGAAAATGAACGGGATGGGAATATTTTCTTTCAACTGAATAAACAACTACCTTGCAAATAAATCACTAGGAACTGACAGTAACATAGGAGAAAACGCTCGGTTAATGAGAAGCGTTTTGCCGATTTACATTGCGACAGGAGTCCCGAAGAACCAGCCGGTCGCTGTTACCTTTTCGTCCTTGGGGAACCCGTTTGGTTCTTGATGAATGGAGGCAACGAGATACCGGCTGCAACTAGGGCTGGCCAACTGCACTTCGGCTGCCGGTGCTGAAGGAGTTCGTAATACCACCCCGACTCATCAGTCTGTAGTGTAGCATCACGGGGTGTATTCTTAAGATGGCCTCCCGGTTTAATGCCTGTATCAGAAGCTTCAAATATGGTGTCTGCATTAAGTACGATTATTAGCAATGCTGTGAGATTTCAGGTTCCATGGTAACTAACATGAAAGTGACTGTTGTGTCGTGGGATGTTCGGCCGTGTAGTCTGGCTTATCATCAGCAGGGACCTTTGAAACGTCCTTAAACGTCTATCATACTACACGGCACAACATCTCAGAAGACAGTCATCTATTGACAGTACTATTTTTGAATCTCTTTGTAAACATCCAATGTATGTATGTACAGTCAGTGCAGATAACCGGTAACTACAAAACAATTTTTTCAACCACAAAGTTGTTCTTACTAGCCTCTACGACATGCTCACTCCGAAAAAGAAGCAACCAGTCCTCGAGTAAAATGAATAGGTCGTCTTTGTGTCATCCTGATGTCGAAACCACGTTAATGGCGGAGAAAGGATCTCTGTAAGGATTCGAAGGGTAGCGGGGGGTGATATCCAAAACTGTTTTGAAGAAAGTGTCGAAGAAATAGACCCATCGTGAATATAATCGAGCCGTCCAGCTCCATTTTACTAACCAGCCGCAGGAAATAGATAATCAGAACAAGGATTTGGGTAGGAACGTGATTGAAAGTGGACTAGCCGGATTTTCGGGCATCCCTTGTCGAAGGTGTACAAAAGCATTCCAGACAAACTGAAGAGAATCCTACGTGGCTTGCGCTTATTTGGAATGTCGCCCGTGGAGCCTCAGTGGGCGGTTGGAATTTCGCTGCGCTGCGCCTGGCGACAGAGGGGGAATGAAGAGGCATGTCACTGACTGGTACTCGTTGATGTCGTTCTTCTGCCACAGGGTGGTGGTCTTTGTTTCATAATTAAAGCGACATGACAGTTTTAGTTATCAGGCTTGGATGCTGCTTGCACACAACACACTTGGTAAGTCTTTGATATCAATAAGAAGTAATTGGGTTCGCCATGGATCCAGTCGTTTTGATACATAAATGTTTAATATCCATAAAGTAAACAGCGTTACAACAGAAAAACTACGCAATAACAAACAGTACTTAGATACAACTAACTTCTATGTAAGATTTGAGGTTTTCACAGCGGTGAGTATGAAGATTTGTGTCTTCTGGGTTGTTGCGCTGTGTAGTCTGGTCGATGTTTACCAACGTTTCAGAGGTCATACTGGTTCCATCATCAGGGCGATGAAGATTTCTGTCTTCTGGGTTGTTGCGCTGTGTAGTCTGGTCGATGTTAACCAACGTTTCAGAGGTCATACTGCCTCCGTCATCAGGGAGATGAGTATGAAGATTTCTGTCTTCTGGGTTGTTGCGCTGTGCAGTCTGGTCGATGTTTACAATGATGTCATACTGCCTCCGTCATCAGGGCGAAACGTTGGTAAACATCTACCTGACTACACAGCGAAACAACCCAGAAGACAGAAATCTACAACTAACGTCATCCAGATAATTTTTTTCTGACATTGACGTGTGATTCATTTAACATTTTGATTTTGAATTGCGTACATTTGATTATCGGCAAGATATTAATAGATTTTGTTGTTGTGAAGAATTACCACTGTACTTTTGACAGTATCTTTAGAAAAATTCCATGAAATACCAATGTTGGTCACAAAGAGACTACTTTGCCCTTTTATCTTCCGGAATTGCTTTCTAACCTTAGCCCCAACCAGGAATGGAAGAGATAAATCCAGAGAAATTTGGTCGGCAAACCTTCAAGAAAAACGATTGTGAGAGTTAAGATTGGAAGGATATTACTAAAATGTCTTAAAATTCCTGTAGGTCTCGAAGTCATCGACTGGATACATGTATCTCAGAATGGAGTCAAATGGCGAGTATTTGTGAACACGTTCATGAACTATCGTATTCCATAAATTTAGTGAATTTTTCTACCATTGGGATGACTGTAAATTTTAGAGGAAGACTTTATGCCAACTAGTTAAATTCTTTAGTTACTTTATTCTTGTTGGTAAGAGCTAGGCTAGGCAAGTCATCGTGTCTGCTGTTTGCCTGGGAAACCTTCTTCAGTGGCTGAAAGACGCCATTGCTTGTGATGATGCATCTCATACCTGCAAGGGGTCGATTACTTTGACCGCGAAGATGAAATAAGACGAAAGGAATACAGCTCGTTGCTGTCGATACACAGGTTGGCCCTGAACATAATTGGCCATTAGTAAGTGCAAGTCAGGTACAGTCTCACAGAAAAGTAAAGTCTGTGTCATACGCACTGTAATGCGTATTGTATACCGTACCCCTGTCAGTGTTCCTGACCTATGGGCCCTTGAAATGAAAAGGATTTAAACCCTTAACAAGAAGTTTGACAAATGACTGGAGTTCTCAGCTTATTGTAACCTAACTACTAGAATTTTTTAGATAACAATAGGCCCATGTATCACGTTCAGCAAAGCTTGGAATTTCGGCCATGAAGTGTATTGATGGGTCCCCCTTCGTCCGCAAAATAACAGTGAATAAGAAAGATGCTGTCTTCTGGGTTGTAGCGCCGTGTAGTCTGGTAGAAGTTTATAAACGTTTCAGAGCTCCTTGCTGCCTCCATCATCAAGGCGATGATTTTACTCATCGCCCGATGGCGGAGGCAACAACCCAGAAGACAGCCATCTTCAGACTCACCGCCGTGAAAACCTCAAATCCTAAACAGTGAATATTTTTTCTTCGTCATCAGCGAACTTTGTGTAGGATACGCTACGACTCACGAAAGGTCACTCCAAGACGCGCGCGTGGCGATACAAACGTCTAACCTGGGTTGTGCGGTTTCTTCTAGACCACTGCGCCGTCAATACGTAAAGTTTTAATTAATTCCCTTTTTGAATCGCGCGTGTACATTATACCCTAACTTACAGACAGAACAAGTCTTCGGAAATTCATATTGCCTGCAAGATTGTTACGGATTACTTAAAGTTTCAAGGTAAATACCTTACTTTCGCCTTCTTCAGAGTTTCCTGGTTTGTTGTATTAGTTCTTTCGTCCTCTCTTTGTCTCCTTCTGCCGCTCTTCGTCTCCTTCTTTTTGAAGTTCGGTCATTGTTGATCGAATGGTAAAAGTTTGGTCAAATATGGACTAGTTGTTTACACGTTATGGACGGGTTGCCTATCGGCTCCGCGCCAGTGTGAACTCATCTTATACAAAGGCTGGCTGTCCTGTCTATTATAAATCGCCACAATGTACACTTTCCCATACAATGAATAGGATCCTCAAAGGGATTAATGTTAAGGTCAAACAAGTCCCGACATGAAATGCCTACTTTCTTCGTCAGTAGATAACTTAACGATCTACAATTGAAAATGTGGTAAGACTTTTGTTTCTTTGTTGATTGAATCCGCGCTGCTCATTTGAGCTGATGATGTTTAGTAGGGAACGATTTATTGATGTTGGTCTTCTGCATTGTAACGCCTGTGTAGTGGAACATACTGTCTCCATCTGCAGGGTAGGCGTGTCAAAGAATGTTTAGAACAGTTTTTACATTCCGAAGGCAAGCAGTTTTTATGATTATTAATTTGAGCTTCATATGAAGCAGGAATTATTGACCGGTACAAACCAAAGTTAAATTCGTCGGATAAATTTAGGTTTGTATTCCTGTATCAAATTAAATCGGAATTATTTGAGTGGTTTGGAGATGAAACACGTGGACGGACAGTACTCCCAATTATGCATTCATTTTACGTTGTGTTATACAAAGAACACTTATGAATAATGCAACATAAGTCAGGAGGAAGATGACGTATCAAACACATTACTGTCATGGTAACTGGAGTTCTTTTAATAATCTCTAGTCGTTTACATAGGACTATGAGATGGACAAAAGAATAGTCCTCCCACTCGCCTGTCTTAAAGATCATTCGTCTTTTCAAAGCTTTCAAACGCCATGATGATTCTATGTAAGAATACATAAAATAATAGTTTTGTCTTTATTTATTATGTAATATTATTTTGAAAATAGTATGTTTTAAAGATATGGATGACTTGTTTTGCTGAAGACTGGGTGGAAACAAGTAAAATTGACTGAAATAGCAGTCACCCTGAACACATATTCACTTGAGCTACGTGTCTGATATGTTTATACAGTGGAACCTCGATATGACACGGGTTTCGGGGGGACAGCTTCAGTACCCGCGTTGTATGTGAAATTGACATTTATCTATCATAAAACAAATGTAAACGCATTGGGGGGGCATGTTCACAGCTGTGGTATATGCGAGTACGCGGTATATCCAGGTTCCACTGTAGTGCTACATAGTTATCATTCAGCCACTGAATTACGCGCTTTTACGTGCCCTTGCCGGCGGAGGTTCTGACAGTCTCTGAAGTTATGCAACGCGCGCCACTTGCTAAAGTCTTCGTTTTATCGCGTCCTGAGCCTGAACATGATTTCAGGCTTTCCCGGCGATACAGTGATGATGATGTTCACCTTGCTTTGGGCTGATGGCACCATGTGGAAGTAAGCTATGTTGCCGCCTTTGGACAGAAAACAGAGGCCCGAATATCCTACCTTCGGTAATCAAATATTACGTTTTATCCGACGTGCCGATTTCTCATAAACTGTTGAGTTTTTGATTAACATATCAAAGAAAGTGTTTGTTCCCTTGGAACAAAGTCTAGATAAAGGCGAAACTATGCTTCAATGTGCCAGAAAAATATGGTGTCGGCCTGTTACTCTCTTTTTCATTGGTGTTCCGTACTATCTGACATTTTCGACTTCCCGACCGTCCATAAATCCCGTTTAGGTCGGATAATCGAGATTTCACTGTATTCAGTTTCGTTGATATTAGACATATTTAATGTTTTCTATGCCATATTTCGCTAAATAAATACAGACGTCTGAAAGAAACGCAGCTCAATAGCTGTGGTACCACGGCGAACACGTAGATATTTGGAAGGAGTCTGCCGTGACCTGTTGAAAGTATTATCTTCGTATTTGCCTGGACAGGCTTAAAAATCCATAAAATTCTTCTGTCTGTTTTTGTCTGATAATACGGTCGAGGTTCGATCCGGGTACCTCGAAAAAAAATCCTAGAGCGCTAATGCTGTCCCATCCTGGTAGATAACTAATAACATTCCAGCCTGTGGTCAGCCTGCGGAACATTTTAATTTAAAAGGATGACAAGTACCGCAGGTCAGACAACACGTCTTTGTGTAGCGTAGGCCACCGTTTTTTTCATTGATAGCCCATATCCCGGGCTGCTTTCCGGTGGCATTAAATCGTTTCTTACTCTAATGTCGTCATACCATCTACTGGAAGAGCTCTCCCACAACAGGCAGATTTGTTGATGTTCCCAGAACCTCAGCATCTATCAGAGTTTCAAAGTTTTCGCTTTGTGTACTTGCTTCATATTGACGTGAAGCTTGGCCTGTCATCCTAACGGAAGAGGAGGGCGTTTGAGAGCGATGTTCTAAGGTTAATATTTGGACATAAGATAGATAAAAGGGACGTCAGACATTACATAATGAGGACATTAATAACACCCTTCGCTTGTTATCACGATAATCAGACAAGGTGGATGAAATGGATAGGAGATGGTAAATTAATACAATATTTTGTCAGAATATCTAAAATAGATAGACCTAGTCATTTATTGAAGATAATATAACATGGATTTTGAATGAAAAGGACATTATGAGGTTAGAAATTAAACAAACAAAATTCTCAACACCAAATGTGGTGGTTATACCGTCATCACTCGGTCGTTAGCTTCTCGTTTGATATATCGAGTAAAGGTAAAAAGGTAAGGAAGTGAGGTTAAAAACGAAACCTACCTGTGACATCTGTCCTGAACAATGGGCACAGGTGACTATTTTCTCGGGAGAAAACCTGATAACTTTATATTTTATCCCTTTAAAACACTGTAATAACTACATGTACCAGACGCTTTACCATTCAGTAACCTGTCATTCTGCCCACAGAATGTATTCGTTGGATTCGTATTCTCAGAATAAAAAGATTTTTTTTAAACACCATCAACTAACTGATCTTTGTAACGGTGCCGATGAGTTTTTTAGGTATGAACTGAGTTTTTAAATATTACTTAGAGAGCTTCGTGCTTTGAAGGTAAAGACAAAACCTAATACGATCACTGACGAAATCATGAAACAGACAGTCTGGTTCAGAACAGATAATTTCCAAGCTCGTTCGACAGATTTTTGAAATTCATGGACGATATCAACTGCATTACGTCACTCGGTCAGCACTGTTTCGTAATTTACCGGGGGGGGGGAGGTCGGAGAAAAAAACAAACAAAACATTTTCAGTCGGATAAACAACTGACAACCGACATCAAGAGCTGTTCCCTGTCACACCTTAGCAAAGTAGCTTAATAATCTTAAGTTCTCTGAATGGAAGCAGATTACACAATCACGGCTGTGACGTCTGAAGGCATCCGGGAATCACCGGCAAAGTTCCAGGAAAAACCGCACTGCCCATGTAACATTCCGAGATCCATGAAGTTGACCTCTTCCGGGAGACGTGACTCTGAAGTTTCAGCCGATGAAAAGTCCTACAGAAATCCCATTTCATTTTGGACAAGGACTGTCGTCATCATATATATGACGTATTGCATCATGTTCTCCTCGCATCTTGAAGACTGGAAATTGGCCCAATTTGTTGCCTGCGTTTAAATATATTGTTCATGTCCTATCAACAGTATTCTTACGATTATATAGAGTCTAAGCGTAGCTATCCCGGCTTACTATAAATACTAAATAAGATATATTGAGTAATTTCGGAAATCTGTTACATTTCGTGCAAAGGAAACTGTAAAATCTCGTAAAAATATGGAAACTACTGCTCTAGGCCATCAGTAAATGCAACTGGAACGCACCATGGCTGACTCCAGAACATTCTCATGTTTATTTCTCTCACTAGAACACAGCCCTTTTCCTGGCTAATTGATTCGCGTACTGAGAAAGATGTGAGGGTCGCAAATTGTTTGCACAGAGTCTGCGCAATATGTCGCGTACCGGATATGGATAGTTGTAGCGAGCTGCTCACCCGATCCGCGTTTTGCTACAAAGCGCTGAGTGCTCTCTGCTGATGCGCACAACACAGGACCTCTGTCCAAAGTTGTAGGCAAATTAATCTGACCGTTTGTTTCTCTGTCCCTTGTTTTAAATTTCGGACACCAAAATGAAAGGCTATAATTGGCCAATTTTAAGTGAAAATTTATGAATTTATCATTCATTCATCTTCACATTCGACGATATTGCTTATAACACGAGCAGGTGAGAGAAAGTTGAGGTTCATCAGTTCTAATTGTCCTGAGTACGAGAAAGTCCGGGCTCTTGAACGATATCTACGTTTAACATTCTGCATATTTTCACTTGAGTTAAGTGCTTTTAAGTGCCGAAGATAATATCAAAACTTCTGAGGAGTAGTGACAACTTTGACACTTACTAGGTGGGTAACAGGACTTGATTTTCAACCTTCCCAGGTCCAGTGTACCAAAATATAACTACCAAGTTTAATGCTTCAGTCCACCAGATTCAGATCAACAACACCTGAATCCATATTTATATTACGATGGATTCATTCGACGATCTCTCCTAATCTTTGACACCAAACAATAAATCCTGTCTTGCACAATTTCTTGACGAGGTTTGAAATTGTGTCTGTCTGGTCCAACTTCGACGCCAAACTTTACCTACAACACTATTTTGAGCTTTCAGATTTTTTGGTGTCTAGAAATCGAAAAAAACAAACAACAAATGATAAAAGAAATGGCTAGAATACTAGTGTGTCAGCAAAGGTTCTTAAAATTTAGTCAATTGTTGCGGAGAAAATTGAGTTTAAAGTTGGCAGGTATATTTTCGGTCACTGAGTGATTTTCACAATATTTTATATGATGGGTCAGTAGATTCGACGGCCATGTTTATATTACCGATAGGTTGAGATTTTTTCTTCGCTACACGCAAGATGTCTATAGGGCCCATCCAATCTTCTGTCTAATGAATACAAGGCAATTTCCTTGTGCTTAATATCTTACAAATGGCTCAGGTTGATAACAGACATTAACATTAGCGATTACCTATTGGTGTTTGATATTGTTACTGGAAGTAGCTATTAGTGAAATGAATTGTTTTGTCTACACAGAAAAGGAGTGATAAAATAATTTTACTACCATTGTTACAATAATAGATGGGTAATTATGACGATTGGTTTAGAACTTGGTAATTCCTAAGTCAATTTCTCAGCTCATTGTGGTTCAGTGGACATCGCGAATGAAGTATACACAATCGAATCCCATTCGAGCGCCAAACCCTGTACACCATCAGTATTGACTTTAAGCTGGATTGGCGGTAAATTGGGAGTTATGTTTGTTTTTGGATGTTTTCTACTTATTAATTCATTTTAGTAAATTAATTTCTTCGAATCCTTATTTGTTTTTCATGGCAAAGTACAGTATTACTCTCAGCTGAGTCTCTGCATTTAGACAAATACTAATTCTAATTGTTATTAAATTGATAATTTGTCTTAGAACAACTTATCTTATTATAAAAATTTGTGATTTCGTCGTCAATAAATTACGTCATCAACAATGTCAAATATAAACAAACAACAATGCCGAGTTTAGTGTCTTACTCAAGATTTTAAAACGCAACCAACCCCCCCGAAAGGGGGTTGGTCAAGTGTTTTAATCCTCCATTCGGGGGGTTTAGTTTAGTTTCTTACACGAGATTTTAAAACGTTGGTTGCTTTTTAAAAACTTGACCAACCCCTCCGAGGAGCTCCGAAAGGAAGCGTTCTGCCCTAGTTGTACAAAATATTGGTCATGATGTAATTGTTGTACTCCAGTAGAGTACACTTTTCCACTCGTGTATTAAACTTTGGAACCCAACCCTTCCTGACTTTTGACACGTGCTGTAAGCCCCGTATTTGAATGCCTGTGATGGAATCTCTCAGAAGACGACTGAACCTGCCGCTAAGAAATATCCCTCCCCTCTGTTCAACATACCATGAAAGTAGCCCACCATTTCCCGAGCGTCGGACGATACCCACCTGCCTTAGCTCCTGGCTGCTGCACCATACACGGGACAAAAACCCAAGTTATGTTGTTAAACACCTGCCAGGAAGTTACAACCTTCATCATCTGCAGAAGAATTCGTTTCTATCTCAACTTCCATCCAGCTCCGCAATACGAATCATGTTCCCAGCACAACCTTCCTTCTAGAAAAGATTGCCGTGTTTAACCAAAATTTGGTGGACGTTATGTGAAATTATAATACGCAAGACCCACAGTTCGTAATCACTGAACACATAACCTATAATTATAATTCCTAGAGGAATTAGTAGCATTCACACTATATTAAGAAGTCCACTTGTTAGATTAGATGACGTGAAACTGTAAATGCCACTAGCTCAATTTTCCAATGTGGCCCACATACTGAAAATGTTGCGTGCACCCTACCAAAGATTGCATATGAGATTCTCACGACTGTAACTGGTCTTGCGTACTTGTTGGTAAAAACTAACATTTCGGAGAAATATAATGTTTCCTTCTTTAGAGCTAAAGTTCTGAGAATCTGTTTTCCTGAAGAGCTGGTACCAATCTACAAGTCCACAGGGCATCATCATCCAGAACAACACCGAATGCCTTGCACTGTGTCAAATTTCACACAAAAAGAAACACTGGAACATTAATGTGTGAATACACAAAGTGAGTTTCGAAGATAATGCATTACTTATTCTTCTTCTATGGCTCTCCGGTCCGTGGCTTCCTCAATTCTCCTCTTCCATTCGGTTCGAGGCTTTGATCGAGGTTTCGAAACATCTTCTTTTTTACGGTGCAAGGTTGTTAGCCTTGCGACCAACCCCCCCAACTTCGGCATGAAATATGTACGCTAACTCTTCAGAAACAAAGGAAGTGTTAATGGGGCAACATTATTTTCCACATTTAGGCATATTTGTGAACACGTAAATGCCTAGAGCCCCAAAGACGGAGGGATTTTTTTAACAACAGTGGTACCTACCTACTAATCCAGACGGCATTATAACCCAGGTCTACATCGTAATCTACAGATGTTCGTGGTTTTATTTAGGACAATGAAAAGATCAGTCTGAAAAAACTATATAAGCAGTGTATTTATTGGATGAACATGGTAAATGGTTGCTTACAAATAAAAGAGGCCCATTCATTAGGGTTTTCTACATACAACTGACACAACAAAAGATAACCGAGGAATGTACCTTGTGTACAGTGATGTCCAAAAATATAAGCCACAAGGCTATGTTTACATATTCAAAATGTGACAGATAAGAGCATGACCAGTGTAAAAGTAGCGATGACATAGAAATGGCGAAGTTTTGGACATACTTCACTTCAAATCTGAGCAATTTGAATTGTAAAAATGAAACCCCCGACAAAGAATATCACAATTTTTCAGCCTTGTAGAAAATGGTCTTAGATCGAAGTATTTAACAATAGTGAGTCTAAGGCACATGGATTACTTGAGTTTCACTTCTTTTGTGATATTGGAATGGTTACTTGACTTACCATTACATGCATCATTACACAGAATATAAAGAATATACATAATATAAAATGTCATTATTCAAAGGGCAAATTTTAAGTAACGCTTCTTCAAATGTACACACAATTATAATAGAAAACATTCTTAACGATTTGCCCTTCGTACAGTGTGTCAAAGCAGGCTACTCAACACTGATCAAATGACACAATAGCCAATATCAATGTGTATCATTGCTACCAACTTGTTTTTTCTAGGGATTAATCTTTTTTGCCCACAATAAACGAATCAAAGCATTTTGCAGTATATTTAATAAAACAGCATTAAAAAAGATTTTGCGAAATACGATCTCTCACAATTCAAACAGAAAGTGGAATGGCTTGGCTTGACCTGAAACTGAAGTTCATCAACAGTAGTCAGAAATGGGGAATATTATCTCGTGCGACGTAATTATCATCAATAAACAGTTGGCACATCTAAATGAAAACCACACGTACAAATTTCCAACTACTGCCAAAAAGCATGGTTTACTATTCCAAGACATTGACTGTGGCTTGTCTTTCTTTCCTTACAATCAAATTCAAAACGTAATATTGCGATGGTCTCCAATATACAGCTGTGCCTCCCCCATTTTAAACGTGACAACTATACCATGCACTGCTATATAAGGTGATTATTGCTCTCAAAACATTTAGGGTATGATAATAGAAAAATGTCCTTTTTGACAAGGAAAATGAAAGGACATGTGCTGTGGCCCCTTCAATGCGGAATGTATCGAGACAATTTTGCATAAGAAAAACTTAATCATACATTTAAAATGGATATTGCTTAACCTTGAAGAAAAATACAAATACTATCACTAGAATAATTATTGGTAAAATTGCAGCATCCAGAAACTGAGTTATGTGTTAAATCATAACTGAATTACGTGGAAATAATATGAATAGATTCTAGTATATTAAGAAAAAAGCAAGTGGAAACATTTCAATTCCATATGAATATCGATATTGCCTGTAACAGTTCTGTTACATTGCCATCACAGCAGCAACATCTGTTGGCACTTCTGGAAACTGCAATATTAATCACAGAATATATTCATGTACTTAAAAACTATAGATATGGATTCAGAATGTAAATTATTACTGTTAGGAATGCAAGAACCTTTCTATTTCTTATTCACTAATTTGTCATTGTAATTTCACGAACAAATTCATTTAATTGAACAGTTTACCACTCAACAAAACACAACTCCACAACAGATGTTTATAAAAATGTTTTAGGCTGGAAAGAGGGAGCAAGGATTCTTTTTTGAATCCTTAAATCTGATATGTCTTTCCAACACTTTATATTGTTTTACATATTCAAAGACTTTTACTAAATGGGTAACTGAGAAACGTTAAAGTCATCGACAGACATCACGAACATTTACGTGTTTGCAAGACAATTGATGTAATATCAAAACAAAGTTGGTCCCACTTATTTGAGATTAAAATCCTTACATGTTAACCAATGCAAACACTAAATTTTAGAACTACAATTAAATAAATATGAGTACAAGAAAACTCAACAGTGAAAATTGATGTTGGAAATAGGGGGAACATAATGGCAGAATGTCTTGCTTGCTTTCTTTTCCTGGAAGCTTCTGCCAGAAGTGAAGTCACTATTTACTACGGAAACTTAAAAAGACAAAACAGAATCTAGACCTTACCACCATTCAAATTTCTGGCCCAGATTAAGATCAAATACCCAACAGTCTGCACAACAAATATTAAAATAAAAAAATCTATTATGCAAACAAGCAAATAGTATTGTTCCTGGCATTGCAGGCTACATGAAATGCAGGTCCATGTGTACCAAATTCGTGACGAGCCATAACCTCCATCCAGTCTTCTAATACATCACAGGAATCAAATATTTCATCTTGTATCTAGAGCCCACGCACAACTTGAATCAGCTTATAGCACGTCACTGCCAGACAGTGGTGTCAGGCTTCATCGTGAACATAACCTATAATACCAGCTGATGCAGGTGGTGCATGGAGACAAGGCAAAGTTTTGTTTGCGCTACGTGGCGACCTATGAATTGAACACAATAATTACGCCTACTTTGCCTCAGCTAATCCCATTAGATTTCTTTTTATAATTCATATTAGTTTTTTTATAAAACAAAACGACAAGGCACATGGATATTTTTACACTGTTTCTTTTCCTTCTAACTTCTTGGCCAAGTCCGCCACGAGTTCTTTGTAGACGAGTGGATCGATGTTCTTACCAAGCTGATACAGGACGAACCAGTCCCCAATCTGGCATTTGCGGGATATGGCTTCTATCTGCTCCTGCGGTGCTAGACGAGATCTGGCCCGGAGTAGGTACATGCGTATCTGCGGGCCCATGATTACAGCAGCCCGGTACAGCAGCGCAATGCCAGTCACCACAGACAGGAACACGAACCAGAACCACAGGAACACGTAGATCTTCTCGTTCACGATGTTTAGGGGCAACACGCAGAGTCCGTCGAACTTCTGCACCGTACCTGAAGGACCATATTTGTGGAATGTGCACTTTGTCACCTTGGGAAACACACGACTCATTGGATCTTCTCTGTCCTCTGGCTCCATTTCAGTAAACCTGATAACATCGGCGCCATAGTTGGTGAATTCCCCATCCAGGAAGAAATCCATAAAGTAGATCTGACCCACAACATTGATGAAGTTAAGCGCTTCGCAGATGAAGAAGCGTATTGCATAGAAATTTTGTGTATGTAAGTTCGTTGAAAAGTAGTCTACCAGCAGCTTCTTTCGATCGGCTTTGCAGTCTTCGCTTACTACTGGGCAATTTAGGTCTAGTACCAACATCTTGATCCGTCCACCCTCCCACGTTTTCCATAGATAGCGAGGTACATAAAACAAAATGGCTTGGAAGAACAGTACGAAGCAAACCCATTGGTAGTACTTGTGGTATTTGACTTCGTCATTTTCGTTGTGGCTGGAAACGCCGGGATGCGCCACATCTATACCAGGCCTACCTCCCAGTCGATTCGGTATCGTAAACGTAGAGTAAATCCAACAGTATGTGTCCATAACAGCGAGGGGAATTTCGTCGACTATGCAATCGATTGGATCACCAATGTATTGTCGAGATGTAACCAACAACGAAAACGCAATCAAGATGATTACGGTGGCTTTGTAATGAAGCCGGAACACGTTGTTGTCTATGCATACCGAGTCTAGTTTAAGAAGCCCCTTCACGGAGCCAAACACATCAAACATGGTTTATTTCTTTTGCTGTTACGTTCACTTTAATCCAGGTTCAAAACAATCAACAACCACCACTCGCACGTCGGTTTTATTTCTTGCTATGGCGCTTAAAAACGCCACCAACCACTTGCATAGATAACGAACACAGTAATTACAAACACACTTTCTCTCTCACACACACACACACACACGTTATCGCAAGCACTCCCTTGCCTGTCCAACTAAACTGACTTACTGTTCTATCGTGTCTTTGGACTATGTCGCCCGCGTCAGAGCATTTCACTACAACTTTTGTTTGGCTACGGGAATATGGCGCGCAGACGCACGAATGGAGTGGAATTGTACGAAGTGGGGGTTAGTTCCACAGGGGCAGGAAGGAGCGAGAAGCTTCCTCTACCTCCCACCCTCTCTCACTCTCTCTCTCTCTCCCTCTCCCTCTCCCTCTCCGTGTTAGTGTCTAAGCAGGGCCCTTTGCATATTACTGCGTTCGATTTTGTAAGGCCGTAATGGGATGTTGCTTGAAAAAAGTTGACAGTGGAACCACGGTTCCGGAGAATCTGACGTAAATACGTATCTGTAATGTAATGAAATGTAATGTAATAATTCTTATATAAGATAAGTAATTGTGATATTCTAAAACGTTTTTACCAGCAAAAAATTGTCTAGTCTACGAAGCACTTCTTCTACAAACGATTCACTGATCAACTGTTTCCGCAATAACGAAAGCGGATTGTTGACGGCAGTAATGTAACACAACAATGCCGAGTAAACAGATGACGTAACAATTAGTTTCTTAGGTAACATAACCATTGATGTCGGTCCATATTTACACAGTGTTGATATGGATCTGACACATCTTCGTTACGCTTTTTTCCTTACTAGAGCAGGGCGCTCCTTTCTGAGCTCCTAGGGGGGGTTTGTCAAGTTTGTAAAACGCAACCAACCTTGGTTAGTCCCGAAGGGCAGTTAGTTTAGTGTCTCATTCTAGTGTTTTAACCCCTGAGTAAGAAACTAAAATAAACCCCCCCCCCCGCATGGGGGGTTTAAAC